TCGGATATCTCAGGGAGAGCGCTTTCTCTCCTCTGTGAAATTGCCAAGCTCCATTATCAGTCAGCCACATTCTTTGGACTGCCCACTTTATCAACGAGCACGCAGAATTTACCTCTGTCGTCGTCTTCGCTCCGCTGCTCTCTCTTTACCTTCCCTTCTCGCTGATGGACCCACCTTTCATCTGGACTCTCTCATTGACTTTTTGACAACAACTGACTTACTTCACAAATTCTGATACCTTCAGCCCTTTCTACTTTAATCTCTTGCTACCCTCTACCCCAGTACTATCCCCTGCCCTGCTGTTTTCTGTAACCTGCTGATCATCCCTCCTCCCTTCTGCCATCCAATACCCTCGCTTCCTTCCCTACCCTGCAGCGCTGTATAGCCCTTGTGGCTTAGCGCTTCTTTTTGGTTATAATAATAATAATTCTCGAAAAATAAAAAAATAAAAAAAGAGAAAAAGTTGGCAGCACTTCCAGAAAAATACATATATGGAAGAATAGATGGCGGCACTCTCAGGCTCAGCGGGGGTGTGCTGTGGGGGCGCCACGGGGAGCGGAGCAAAAGAAAAGTATATAAGAAAAATGGGGTCCCCCGAAAAGGGGGGCAGGGCCCACTCAAAATTTTGGAGGGGGGAGGAGCCTCCGCTCAAAAAAATACATCAGCTTGGCACAAAATCCCCTACTGACTTGTGCTACGAATTTGATGTCGTAACTTAAATAAAATGTTGCTGGCTCCTAGAGGCTGCTGACACTGCTGTCTAGGGGTTATAAAATTACTATGAAAACACAGCAAACCTTGAGCCAGCATGTACTCATACAAATTAAGCATTAATATTAATATAATATATATTAATATATTTAATATAATACTAACTTACATAAAACTTGTAATCTACTCCAAAAAAAACCATACTTCAGTTCACATCAGCTCACTAGCACACTGCTGCTAATGAGTTAAACAAAATAAACATTAACAGGGAGGCTCCATGACACCCCCCACCTTTCTGCAGGCTACTTAGCCTACAGTGGAAACGTTAAATACGCTCCAAAACACAGGCCCCTGCATACTATGGCTTTACAAATAAACATGAGAGCACTTAAACACAAACACTAACTAACCTATAGTATACACTTAAAAACTTAAGAAAATTACCTACTCACGTTACCACCCAAACATATGACTTCACCCCATGACCACCAGTCTGGTACTGAATTAAACACACCTCTCACCTGCTGCTGTCCTGGCTACTGCCTAACAGGATTAAAATACGTTCACTTTCAGGGAATAATACACGTCCCCTTTCCGTATATTACACGGAAAATATTATATATTGAGCGTTAGTTTATATTTTTTTTTACAGTGCTCTGTAACACTTCTCAGTGGATGGGTTTATGAAGGATGAGGGTAACCAAAGAACTGATGAAGGAAAAAAGTGACTGGAGACAAAAAAACGTTGTCTATAGAGGCAAAGAAGCGAATGTACAAGAGAATAGTGGTACCATCACTCTTATATGGGTGTGAAGCTTGGGTTGTAAATACTGCAGTGAGAAGGTGGCTGGAGGCAGTGGATATGTCATGTCTAAGGGAAATGTGTTGTGTAAATATTGTGCAAAGAATTCATAGTGTGCAAATTAGGAAAAGGTGTGGAGTTACGAAAAGTATTAATCAGAGGGCTGAAGAAGGGTTGTTGAGGTGGTTTGGTCATTTAGAGAGAATGGAACAAAGTAGAATGACTTGGAGGGAAGGAAGGTGGGTAGGGGTCGTCCTCGAAAAGGTTGGAGGGAGGGGGTAAAGGAGCTTTTGTTAGTGAGGGGCTTGGACTTCCAGGAGGCGAGTGTGAGCATGGTAGATAGGAGTGAATGGAGACGAATGGCTTTAGGGGCCTGACTAGCTGATGGAGTGTGAGCAGGGTAATATTTTTTGAAGAGATTCAGGGAAACCGGTTAGCCGGACTTGAGTTCTGGAAATGGGAAGTACAATGCCTGTGCTTTAATGGAGGGGTTTGGGATTTTGGCAGTTTGGAGGAACGTCTAAGCTGTCGTATCTGAGCTTCTCTGCAAAGACAGTGATTATGTATGAGTGATGGTGAAAGTGTTGAATGATGAAATTTTTTTTTCTTTTTTTTCGGCCACACAATAAGTGTCGGGCCCCAAGATTGCTCAGTTGTCGCCCAGCATACATAAGGGGGATTAACAATAGACCTCTGGCTGTCTTGAAGAAGGCACTAGAGAGGTACCTGAAGTCAGTACCTGACCAACCGAGGCCAGCAGTAACAGCTTGGTTGATCAGACCCTGATCCACCATGAGGCCTGGTGTCAGACCGGGCCGCGGGGGCGTTGACCCCCGAAACCTTCTCCAGGTAAACTCCAGGTAACCCTGCCTCGGTGATATATATATATATATAATATATATATATATATATATATATATATATATATATATATATATATATATATATATATATATATATTATAATATCTATCTTTTACAAAACTATAGTCATTACTTACAGCATGACATAAATATAAGCATGTCGATACTGAAGGGTCCTGATTGAACACTGCTGGTAGAGAGATCGTAGCAGAAGCAGTGGTTGTCGAAGCCACTGCAGGGATCAAAGTTACCATTGGGTAAGCATCTCATGCCAAGATTCTAATCCTTTACTTATTGTATTTCCCAGTAAACGAACACTCTGTGGAAGCATAGAATATAATGTATTTATCAGGTTGAATTAAAAAACAAAACCATGTTATACTTGGCAGTCACAAATGAATCAAGCACCCTGTTTGTTTACACTGACAACGACATAATTTGAAGGACTTTGTACACTGACAGACTGGAAGACGATTATACTAACCTCTAAATTGTATAGTTCCCAAAAAGAGGGCATTCTGTTAGACCAATCCGCCGGCTCCTATGATCCACACGGTAATATTAATAGCTCTAACTAATTGCTCGTAGGCAGGCTAGTTTTTCTCAAGATTTTGGTGACGGCCACCACTGTGGAGTCTTGTATGAAAATAATTCTTGGTTAAACCAGATCAATTAAAGTGAATATTTTTTTATGGCAATGACTGACTCCTGTCTGTTTGCTCTATATTAATTAACACACTTTGATATGTTTTCAATATCCATTGTATAAGATTTGATTTCTAGTATTACTATGTTAGGTTGTGCTTGAACAGTTCATTTTGAACGTTTCAGACTGTCGTTACTCTACACAGATTATACATATCCTGTATTATTGATATTTATATTTATTATTTTTATAGATTTATATACCTTTATATATATATATATATATATTAAGGTTATATATATATTTATATATATATATATCATTAATATATTATTTATATATATTATATATATATATATATTTATATATATTTTATAATATATTTAACACACTCGGCCGATTCCACCAAGGCAGGGTGGCTCTCAAAAAAGAAAAACTTTCATCTATACATTCACTCCATCACTGTCTTGCCAGAGGGTGCTTCACACTACAGTTATAAAATTGCAAACATTAACACCCCTCCTTCAGAGTGCACACACTGTACTTCCCGTCTCCAGGACTCAAGTCCGGCCTGCCTGGTTTCCTGAATCCCTTCACGAATGTTACTGGGCTCACACCTCAACAGCACGTCAAGTATTGAAAACCATTTGTCTCCATTCACTTCTATCAAATACGCTCACGCTTGCTTGCTGCGAAGCAAGCCCTAGCACCAAAAACCTTCCTTTACCCCTCCCTCCAACCCTTCATAGGCCGACCACTACCCAGCCTTCCCTCCACTACAGATTTATACACTATTGAAGTCATTCTGCTTTGTTCCATTTCTCTTACATGTCCAAACCACCTCAACAACCCTTCCTCATGGCCCTCTGCGACAACAGTTTTGGTAATCCCGCACCTCCCTACCTCACCCAATTTCCAAACTACAAAATTCTTTGCATTATATTAACACC